ATAAATGAGACCCAGGTGGCACCCCCTATGTCACATCCCAGGGAATTCCGCACGGATGTGGCGACTGAGACCTCCGTGCCATCGTCTCCGGTGTACTTCCGAACGATAGTTAGGAGAGACCATGCTGGTTACGGTCTAACAGTGTGCGGCACAAATCCCGTCACCGTGCGCAGCATTCGCGAAGGTTCGTTTAATGAAGATGAAACGTATAATGGCCATTCTGACTCAAATCTAAGTTTGTTTGTAAAATTATTCATAAAAGAACCTATTCATTGCATGTTCCTGTCTACAGGCAACATTTATCCTAAGGAAGATGATGCAGGAATAAGTATTTACACGGCGTGGCAGCCTCTGCAATCGTAACCTATTCATGCCACCCATTATGAAAAATTAAAGTACACTTTTAACACAGCAGTTTGAAGTATGCTATGTTTAAATCAGGGCAACTCTCTGAAGGCAAAAATATATCTCATAATCAATAAATGCAACAGTCTTAGTTAATAGCTTATGTGTCTGTACATCATGCACCACAATCATTTTAAGCCATCTTAGGCCGTAAAATCAGCATATTTTTTTCACAGTTTTGACTAGTTGTAAAATCATAGTATGAGATTAATTACTGTCTGTCCTAGCTAAGGAATTTTAGGGTGTATGCAGAACTTAGTTGTTTGCGCAAAATCCATAAAACCATTTAAAGTGCACACCATATACCGTCGCTAAATAGTTCTGTCCAGATAAGATGCATGCTACTAGTATTGCAAACAGGCCGCCAAGTAACATGCGTGGGCCGTTGACTCCTCTGTGTACGGGATGGAAAATATTTACGCGGCAGTGGTTGTAGGCTGAATTTATCGCGATCACAGACGGTAGCACAATAGCAGTGTACTAATCAGAACTGGCCATTTCTATCTGAATACTTAAAGGGCAACAAAGTTAGCCTATAAATATTTCTTATTTTCTTTACACCTATTCTCCAACGGTCGACTCTGACTAATTGAGCACTAACCTTTGGCTATTTAGAATTGTAATAGGTATGCAAACTGTGCTGACGACACCCAAGCAGATAATTACATGCATATAGCCGATTATTGTCCCAACTAAAGTGTTAAAGGAAGCTGCTTTTGTAAAACACATCTAATTGAACACAACGGAGTTAAGGCAACATAAAGAGCCTCCGCTTAACTAATGCACAAAGGAATTGGAAGGTGACATCTGCCACTTACCTAAGTGAATCTGCCAGGTCAAGAGGATGACAGGAAGGATGTCAATGAAACCCAGAGGAGACAGATCTGCTATTTTGTATACTTTGGATTATAATATAATACAAACACTTAAAATAACTTCATCCGTAATTTAAATCTAATCCTAACCTTAACCATACCTCCCCTTCAGTCTAATCCTAATTGACCAGAATTGAGGGCAAAGATACCTGCGTTATGGGATCAGTAACATCGCCTTCTACCAATTTTCGGAATGTGCTGTGTCCTCTTTCCCAACGCCTAAGTTGAAAAACTGCGGCTGTCCGTAAATGCTCAATCTGATTTCTAATTGCGCAGTTAACCTATTTAGCGTTGTTTCAGTCATGGAGCAGAAGGCAAGGAGTTGGAAAACAGCTTCAGCGCCCTATAGGAAGCTCTAGTAGTCTTTTGCGTTTTTTGCAGGGGAGGGTTATTGTTTTTTTAAACTGTGTAATATAAGACTAAAGTACTGATGGAAAATGTGATCGTAGTTACCAAATTGATACCAGCCTGTACTAAATTGCAAGGACTGAAGGGCAGAACCTAGGTTAAACAGTGTATAGTTTAGATTAGGAGAATGGCCAGTGTTCCTCCTGTCTCCTTTGGCATTTCGTTGTATGTTATTGAGTCATTTCTATATTGTGCAGGGTTAATCATGAAATGCTGAGTACTTTGGAAAGAAGTTATCTCTTTTTAGCATTTTTTCTAAGCACGGAAACTTGAAATAAATCGATTTTAACTTTTCTAAGCGGTTTGGAAATTTCACTTTTTAGGTGGAACAGCTGAACGCGCAGGACTGCGACCTGGTGATGAAATTATCAAAGTAAGCTTTCGGTCGATTCCTAAAATCAATTTTTGGTGCCCCAAAATATGCAGATTTACATTATATTGAACTGTTTTTACCAATAATCGCAGTTTTCTGAGCCTTTTTTTCTACCGATTATTCTAGGTCAATGGTTTAAACGTTGAAGAAATGGAACACCAGGACGTGGTTGACAGAATCCGAGGTAAGTCTTATTCTTAACGTTTTGTTTGTTTTAGAATGCTTTATGCGACCGAAAGCTCCAGGCGCAATTAAAAGCAAAAGCTTTGAACACCTTTTCTAACCAATCAATTTGCTTACAAATACCGCAAATGAAGCCACTTTACATATGTATTTCGAAAACTTTAGTTCTTGACTGGCTTCGGTGGAATTTCCCATCATTGGGGCAAATTAAGGCATCACATAATTCATACAACATGAAAGATGGAAAATTAATTATAGCTGACTTGTGTTTAAGTTGGGTTCTTCATTGTGAAAACTCAGAAACATTGTTGATATATGACTTGAAATGGTAAGAAAGTTGGACGAGCGAATGAAATCAGTATTAATGGGCTCGAGCTCGGTCTTCAATGCATCCTCCCCATCTGAAGGCAAATTAGTTCTTGTTTATGTGCGAAGAAGAAACTGTGCGATAGACTGCCAAAAACAGTGTTTATATTT